TCTGGCTCGTGATCCATGAAAGACTGCTCACTAACAAGGAAAGACTAAAGAGGAACCTGACCACGAACGGGAATTGTAACCACTGCACTGGTCTGCAGCAGAGCAATTAACTAAGCATATCATTCGACACTTTCATAAGACTAAGGGAATCTAGAGGAAGTTCCACTGCTACTTGACGGATAAAAGACAGGATATTCCCTTCGGACAATGGATGATTAGCAACCTCAGCAAGGTTGGAAGTTTCAACATCTCTCGTGGGTGACAAGAAAACTCTTTTCAAATTGCTGGCTCTCTTGTGGGCGGGTGCACGTTATGACGTGCTTTAAAATTTTTGTCACTCTCTATCGCCGACTAGACAAGCACATGGCAAGGTTTGGGTGGGGCTATTCGGAGGAAAGCTCAAATATGAGATAGATGTCGTGGCGACGCTTATGTCGCAGTAAACATGAGGGTGTGCTTGGCTTTAGGCGGTTCAAGCTATTCAGTCAAACTTTGCTGGCCAAAATAGCATGGAAGATAGTCATGGAGCCAGATACGCTACTAGTCCAGATTTATTGGGGAAAATATCTCCATAATTATTCTATTCTTACTACTAAAGTGGGATCCCATCCGTTGTGGGGGATGGATGGGTGTGTTGCAAGAGTGTTCTCTCCTGAAGGCTGGACTAGGTTGGCAGGTTGGGTCGAGTGAGTCCATCCTTGTTCTGTCGTATCAATGGATCCCAAAGATCCATCCCGAACCTTCGAAGACATGCATAGGGGCGACTTCCTTGGGAGAGGCAATGGTATCGAATCTTATTAATCATGACAAAGGGAGATGGTGCGAAGACTGTCTGCGAACTAACTTCACCAAAAGAACGTGCAGGACTATTCGAGCGATCTCACTTCCTCTCGTCCATCTGATGGAAAAAATAATCTGGGTGAAGGAGGCCTTCGGGAAATACATGGTCAAATCAGGTTAGCGGTTGACGGATATGTTGGATCTTAAATTGACTAGATGGAGGTCTGAGCCAAGCCTTGTTGATGCTGGGATTTGGAAGAAGGTTTGGGCTTTTCAGGTGCAACCTAAGTTGAGGTTTTTCATGTGACAAATGTTAAATAACACAGTTCCAACGATGGAAGCGCTCCGTCGTCAGGATATACCTGTCTTGGGTCGCTGCCACGTTTGCTTGACGGATGAGGAAACTATGGAACACCTTTTTGTGGAATGTCTAGTGGTTGCAGCTTTATGGAGGGATGTAGGGCTAGCTCAGGTGGCAGAGGATATGCTAAGAGATTATTTGACTATTTTCTTGCAACGTCTGTTTGCTAAAGATGATTCTCCTTGTTGGGTAGTCTGTATAGTCTGCTTGCTTTTGAGAATTTGGAAGGGTTGCAACTGGTAACATTTGAAGGGATCCGGGCAACGCTCAGGGCATTGGCTAGACAATTCCATGCTCATGTGGTAGAATGGGAGTCGGGGGCGAGCTTGCGGACGGGTACTGCCCTCTGACCAGTGCCAATTGATGGTGTACTATATGTCGAGGATGGTTAGGCAAGAGAGGTGGGTCGGGTGGTGTGTTTCTCCGACGGAGCGATCTACCCTGGATCTCATGCTGCTGAGGTGAGAAGGGGGGGGGGGGGTTGTGAGGAGTCTTGTGCGGTGGTGATTTCCAAAAGAATGTTGTTTGAAGGAATAGATTATCCAGGTAAAGTAGAATTTTTGGCGTTATGAGAGGGAGCACAATGGTGTGTGGACACTGGGAGGCACTCAGTTTGGATTTAAGGGGATGTCCAACTGGTTATTGATAAGGTTAATGCGGGGGGTTGTTGGTGAAGTATGTGACAGTGCAATTTATGAGGAATTCTGGCGTCTTCGGTTGTAATGTTCAGCTTTGGGATTTCGTTTTGTGAGGAGGGATAACAATAGAATAGCCTATGCGGTGACTAAGAAGCTTTTTATTTGTTTCCTAATCGTTATAATAGGTTTGATTTCGACGACTGACTTTTTGCGGAGGCGGGCATTAACATGATGTAACTTTGTGAATGACAAAAGTGGCCGAGATTGATTACGAAGAATAAATGAAAGTAGTGATGGCAATTTCAACCCGCCCCGCGGGTATTACCCGACATGACCTGCGATGGGGCGGGTATTACCCGACCCGCAGTAGCGTGGGGCAGGGCATGGGTATCTACTTCCAACCCGTCCTGCCCCGCCCCGCCCCGTTCTAGACTCATATTATCTCACTTTCTTATAATATCTATACATATTTCTCCTATTTTGACTTTTCTTCAACTAGTTAGAGTCGATCTTTCAATTTGTTAGACTCAATTATCCATTCTATTATCAATATTTTTCATTCTTAAAGTGTTTTTCCTTACGTTTTATTGTAAAAAGTAAAATTTACTTGTATTTTTTTGAACGACATGTAAGAGTAGGTCAACTCGCCCCGCCCCATACTCGCGCGAGTTTTACCCGCCCCGACCCGTAGTAGCGTGGGACGGGACATGGGAATTGAGATACCCGCCCCGCCCTTCCCATTGCCATCACTAAATGGAAGGACAAGCTAGAGATTGATTACGATTTACGAAGAATGAAAGAATAAGCTAAAACGCCGTACAGTAAGTCTTCACGACGTCGCTTCCTCAAGCAGCACCGCTCGTCGTCTTCTGAGTCTTCAACCTATTAGCTTCCTCCGCTGACCATATCGCAGAGCGGCGACTCAGACACCCAAATTGCCCGCCCGCCCGCTCGACTTCCGATTCCGCGAGTTGTCTCAATTCTCCCGTTGCGTTGAAGGAAAAGATGGAATCCCTAGCTGCTTCGAAATGGACAAATTCCCTCCTTTATTTGACTTTGATACTCTCCACCGTCTTCCTCCTTCACTCCCAAATCGCCACCAATTTGCTCGTCGGCCACCACCCGCTGCGCCTGAAGCGTTCCCCGGATCTCCCTCTCCGATTTCGGGACGATGGCACCTTCAAAATCCTCCAGGTCGCCGACATGCATTTCGGGACCGGGATGGTCACCCGTTGCAGAGATGTGCTGCCTTCCGAGTTCGACTACTGCTCCGATCTCAACACCACTCGCTTTGTCCGGCGAATGATCGAGCTTGAGAAGCCCGATTTCATCGCTTTTACAGGTTCCCTCCTTTTCTGGTTTCCACTTACTTTTGGTTCAGCCTGAACTTCTAGAGTTACCCAGTTCGCTGAAATGAAGGGGATGGTTCCTCATATACTGTCTTTGATTCATGAGAAATGGAAAGCACTGTCCTTTTATATGGAATTGAACCTTTTTACCGAGTTTGCTATGGCATTGGCTTTACCCATTTGTGAAGCTGTAGCAATTTACAATTTTGCCGTTTATTGCATTAAAATGCAGTGATAAGAGATTGAAGCTCTCAAAGAACACTGTCCCTGTTACTAACTTGTATGCAGTTCCTATGACCAGGAGACAATATCTTTGGAAGTAGTACAACTGATGCTGCTGAATCCTTGCTTCGTGCATTTGGTCCAGCCATGGACTCTGAAATTCCATGGGCAGCAGTGTTAGGTAACCATGACCAAGAATCTACAATGACTCGGGAAGAATTAATGTCTTTTATATCGCTTATGGATTACTCAGTGTCACAAGTCAATCCATGGGCGGATGTACCGGCCAATTATGTGGAGTTACCCAAAAGGAGGAAAATCGATGGCTTTGGAAACTACGATCTCCAAGTATATGGTCCGCCTGGTTCTGTTTTGGCAAATGACAGCGTCATGCATCTTTACTTCCTTGACAGTGGAGACAGAGAAGTAGTCCAAGGAAGACGTACTTATGGGTGGATTAAAGAATCTCAACTTCATTGGCTTCGTGGCGTTTCAAAGCGAAATAAGGTATATAACAATATGGGTCTTTTTTTCTTTTGTTTCTACCATTGTTCTTCAATTCCCAAAGTGGGATGTTTAGATTTAGACTCAATTAACATGTTGCAGGTCATAACCTAACAGGAGCAGATTGAGAATCTCAATCACATGGCAGAGGTTTCACGGATGCCTATAAATCCTGCACTGGCTTTCTTTCACATCCCAATTCCTGAAATTCCACAGCTGTACTATCAGAAGATCGTCGGCCAGTTTCAGGAAGGCGTTGCTTGTTCTTTGGTGAACCCAGGAGTCTTGAAGACCTTTGTATCAATGGGGGATGTGAAGGCTGTTTTTATGGGGCATGATCATACCAATGATTTCTGCGGGACTTTAAATGACATCTGGTTTTGTTATGGTGGTGGATCTGGATACCATGGTTATGGAAAACCCGGGTGGCCACGCAGGGTCAGAGTTATATCAGCCGAACTGGGAAAAGGTGAAATGTCATGGAGAGGAGTTGAAAGAATCAGAACCTGGAAGCGTCTAGACGACAAAGGATTGTTTACCAAGATTGATGAACAAGTCTTGTGGGAGTTGCAGCAGTCAAGTTGACCTTATAACTTGTATTTGCCATATGTAAAAAAATTGATGTCCATCTTGCTGTTGTAAGATTACCATCAGGCCTAATTTTAGGCGGATTGCACCTGCTAATTGGCTTCCTGCAGCGAATTGTGTGGAGGTTGTTCTCATAAACAATCTTGCTTCTCTTATTGCTTGGAGATTCAGGTGTAAAGCAATGCACAGGAGAAGGCTAGTTATTGAGGAAGGAGCAAACAATATGCAGGTTTGGGTTTTGGACTTTTCCCTTGTACAGCACTCATTTGACGTTTATTTATCTAATGATGTGATTGGTGTCTAAAAGTGGCCTGCTGTTCGAGGTTATGAACATGGGAACATTTGTGCACCTTAGTATCTGTTTGTGTTCTTGCTATCTCATCTGCTTCTCATGTCATCAACTGCTTTTATCATTAGGGTCATGTATGACTTGAAAGCAGTATTTGTTATAGTTCTTGGTAGTATTTAGGCTTGCAATAGCTCTGAACTTAAGAAATTGGCTCTCTTGTATGATGTTTTCGGGATATCTGGATCACAAACTGTTTCGTAATACATTTTCGTGTCACCAACTGGAGACAGAGAAGTAAAAATAAAAGAGGAACAAAACTGAAACAATGTGATATAAGCTTTTATATTTGAGAACTAATAGGGACTGTCCTAGGCTATCTAAACCATTAAGATCGGCCTGCATCTCTTCAAATCCTCTTATGGCATCTATCTCTGCGTTAACCCTTTTCTCCACTTCAGCTTCTACAAACCTCTGAGCTGCTTCATTTGCCTCTATTTTGATCCTTTCTTTTTCCTTCTCCACAATCAGTCCTACCTTCTGCTCTAACTCCCGTGCCTCTTCTATCCTCTTCTCCTCCCTCACCTTCCACTTCTCAACTTCCATAGCCTGTATCAAAGAAGAGCAAATGCTAGAACAGCAAGAACCTAAAAACTCCAGTAAAATTTCATTAACTTTTTTGTAGAAAGGTCAAAGTGGATACATACTTTCCGCTTTGCTGCAAGTGCTTCTTTGCAAGCTGCATGGTACATATCCATCGTCTGCTTTAGCTCTGTCTCCAGTCTTTTCATTTGGCGCTCATAATCTTCCTGCAACAACATCCCATATGTACTTTGTAAATTGTAATGCATTAACTATAGTAATTAGGTGAGAACAAAGTTTATGTTTGTTTTTCTATGTCATGACATGACGCCTAACTTGTTCCCAAGAGCTCCGATCGTCGGTCGAGGTCGAGGTCGAGGTGTGGCCATTAGACATTCGAAAACCTGATGTTATGGATGGCTCAAAGTCCTCTCTGCAATCTACATAGGAGGAATTTCTAGAAGGTTCCCAGTTCGGCGGCACATCAGCTCTGGTAGCCCTTGAAGGCCTTGAAGAATCTTGGACGGTATCGTAGAACTTGAGGGAGTTGCCCTGATCAACGCTCAACCGAGCGTCTGACATTCCACCAAGGAGGAGTTCATAGTCCAGGTTGTCGTATGATCTTCCATTCACTCTCTTAATGGACCTATACATTTTTTTTGTTATTACGTATATGTATATTCAAGTAAGACTACAACCACGGAGATCGTTAAAACACAAGCAACATTACGAGATGAAACTTACGGGGTATCAGAAGGGGTTAAACTGGGATGTTTTGCAGTACTGAGGGAGGAAGAAAGTGGAGGAAGGTGTGGTGATGGAATGGAACGCGAAGAATTCCGTGCAGAGCTGATCTTTCCTTTGGCTATAACGTAGACTGTGCAGAAATCAGGTGCCCATTTCATCACCGTGCTTGGAATATCTGTACTCCGAAACAGCCTGCAGATTTCGTCGTAATGGAATGAAATGATCATGACAGCACAATCTTCAGAGGCAGTTAAAAGAAACAGTTTCCTTGTTTCTTATTATCAAACAGTTACCTGGAAATACCGGTTTTGCTGGGTGTGCCGAGCAAGAGAATCTTGACACCAAAATGGCCAATGTACTCTACTATTGCTTTGGCTACATCGCTATCCTCCAGTACAACGGTCTCGCAATTAACCTGATTTGAGCAGCATGATGAGATGGTTCAATTTCAATCAATGCCACCCTTGAGAATCAATTACCGAAAGCATATTTATCGTCGTAACATGCTGTTGTATGTTACGACGATAGCAATTTCTCATCATTGCGTCGGGAGAATGACTTACTTCTTTGCGCATACAGTAACATTTGAGGGGAAGCATCATCTCGGCGATCAGAGCATCTGGACTCTGTTCTTGATCCATTCCCCATTGCTGACCTACGTACGTCCATATATACGCGTACCAGGATCGTATATCGCATCCAGGCAAGCAAATGAAAAGAATGAGGAAAACAAACACAAATGGGTAACAAGAGAATGATGAATGAACAAGCAGAGGTCGGTACCAGTGAGGAATCGGTCTTTGACATGGAGAAGGCGGAGGGTCTCGTGCCTGGTGACGATATGAGTAATGGCCCATTTCAAAGCATAGATGCTGCTCTTGTCCCTGTCCACGGCCACCGCCACCACCCTCTCCCTCCCGCCCATTTCCGAGCTTCTCTCCATTGATTGTTGGATTGGTATTTACCAGATCGAGAAACAGGGGATGATCGGAACAGGGTATAATGATGTGTGTTTGTGTTTCTGGGGGGGAATGAAGAATGTGGGTTTTTGGGATCGGAGGAAATGCCAATGGCGGGTGAATCCAATCGGAGACCAAATGTGATTGAGAGATGAAGATCGGCCCCATGATTGTATTTTGAAATGGTTCAGTTTAGGAGACGGAGAAAAGAGAATGAGGGCAAGATAGATTATGTGTATTGCGGAAATATACCTCACAAGCCGAGTTCCCGCATTTACCTCAAATTTGATTGATCAACCTATAAAAGAAACATGGCCGATCGTTTTAGCGATTTTCCATCCTTCAGAAGTGATTAGTCTCCATTTTAAAAAAGTTAAATAAATTATGAATTACAGTCAGTCCAGAGGGAAAGGCGAGTATTTTGGTACTTATATTTGGTGCTCAAACGACGGCCTTCTCAGCTTGGTGTTATAGAGGATGCAATGCAAGCACCACACACCCGCCAATGACACCGGTGATCATGTAGATTAATTCATCACATCTATTCAATCCAAAATAAAATCGTTCGATCCTCAATGCTTAGAAGACCGAAAACAACCCGAAAATAACACATCAAGTATAAAATCCGATGATCTCATTGAACTTGGCTTAAATTACATGCATAAGACACTAAAATGTTTTAGGAAGACATGTATAAATATCGAGTTATTAAACCTCTAGCACTAAAAAACGGGTTAATTGCATGGTTGGTCACTGAGATTACAAAAAACGTTCATGTTTGGTCACGGTAAATATTTAAATCCAACCTTGGTCACTCAAATTAGTTAAATGGTTCAAGTTTGGTCACTCTCCGTCCAACTCCGTTAAATGTGTCTGATGTGGCAGTTGTTGGGTCTAGTATTAACCCGCCTAATACGGGCCCAAGCCCACCACAAAGCGTCTCACCTTGGGCCCAAGCCCATTCTAGGGTCCAGTACACCGGGAGGCGTCCACTCACCGAAAGGCGTCCATCGACGGGAGGCGCCCACCACCGGAAGGCGTCCACTCACCGGAAGGCGCCCACCACCGGAAGGCGTCCACTCACCGGAAGGCGTCCAGTCTACCGGGGGCGTCCATGACAACGGGAGGCGCCCACCAACGGGAGGCGTCCACAGGATGCCTCCGACTCCTATATAAGGAGGCCAGACCCTCCAAGCAAGGGGACTTCTTCTCTCCCTTCCCTCACTTTACCACTTATGGTTCTCTCTCTAAACCCTATCTCTCTCTACATTTCTCTCTACACTCTATCATATATCCTATTCTAACTTGGGCGTCGGAGTGTAGATCACGGGGGCCGCCCCCGACTCTCCACAGGTTTCTTCCACTCCCGAGGAGATCAGACGAGGGAGTCCGGATCAAGGTTCCACACTAATCCCCGGTACTAATCCGGGTCAAACATTTTGGCGCCCACCGTGGGGCGTGATAGTTGCTATGCGATTCCTCCTTTGGGACGCGGTCTTTGAACGTCGAATGCGAGTCTTGCGAGTAGCGGACCAAATGATGTAAGCCTAAGTTTGGTCAGGAGGCATGCACTCCTTTATAGCCCATTGTTGTCTTAGGCGTTAGCTATGTGCTAGATAGGGTGGCCCCCATGAATTGAGAGTTTTAGCTCAAGACGCTCGTGTGTATCACCTGTACCACACCTTCTGTGAGGCGAGATTGGATTTGCCGATGTCACGCCTGTTGGAAGGCGGGGTCGGGTTTTTGCCGTTTTGTTCCTATGCTTGGAGTATCCATGGTCGAATCTAGTCGAACGCGTTTGTTATGAGTCCCGGTGCGGCTCGCGGCATAGAATACAAGGTTGACTAGGCCCTTGTTAGGCAGACTTGGGATGGTGCTTTCTTGGCTTTTATCGGGAGGAGTTTCTCCTTCCCGGTCTATTGGGTGGTGGAGAGTGTTATTTTCTTGAACGGTCGTTTGACGCATCTCGCGTTTTTCTTTTAAACCTCTCGAAAGGTGTTTCTCCTTTGAGCCTGTCGGAAGGCATTTTTCCTTTAGGCCTGTCGGAAGGCGTTTCTCCTCAAGCCTATCAGGAGGCGTTTGGGCCTGTCGGAAGGCGTTCCTCCTTCGAGCTTGTCGGGAGGCGTCTCCATGACGATGACCTGCTTGTGAGAAGCGAGATTGGGCTTTAGCTTCGTGGAAGAAGCATTCCTACGAAGGGAGCACCATTAGAAGGTGGAACATTCCCGTGGTGGGAGTATCGCCCGTCGACTTGACATTTTCGTGAAGAGAGCGCTCGATGGGAGCATCTTCAAGAGGCGGGATATCCTCATAGTCTTTTGGCTTCTAAGAAGCGTGTTAGTCTTCAGCTTCTTGGGTGGACATGAGATACTTCAGACTGCGTATGTGTAGTACTTTCTCAGGCGCATGTCATTCCATGTTTTTTGAGACTGGGACACCTTCCATGGTTGCTAGGAAAAAGGTGTTGGGACCTGTTTTGTCTTTGATGAGGGATGTGCCTTCCCAGGTTGCGTCAAACTTGTCGCGGTTTTACCTTTGCGTTGTGGGTGGCGATTGCTTTCGCTTTTCCACTTACGATTCGTTCCATGGTCGTGTTACGTCGCGATTCTACCATGTCCAGTTGCTCTAGTAGCTCCTTGTGGTTGTCCTCCGAGTTGCATGTTTGAACACGGAGGGAGGGTAAGTTTACTTCTTCTGGGGCGACCGTTTCGGTGCCGTATGTCAGAGCGAAGGGGGTATCTCCCGTGGCCGTCTTGTGGGTCGTGTGATGCGACCATAGGACGTGTGGGAGCTCAGTTATCCCTGCCCCTTTATCGTCCCGGAGATGATTGTTCAGTCATTGGAGGATGAGCTTGTTGGATGCTTCAGCCTGGCCGTTGGTTTGAGGGTACATCACTGATGCTATGGTGTCCATGGCGCGGTTTGGCGCGCAAGGACTATTATGTTATCCTTTTAACCTTCTCGAAAGGCGTCTCCTCAAAGTTGATCGTTAACTCAGTGACGTGGCAATTAAAAAATAATAAATAAAATTAATTTTAATCTTCTACCATTTCCAACTCATTTTCACATTAAAATAAATAAAAAAAATTATAATTACAAATAAAGGGCGTTCCTTCCTCCGTTAATGTCAGCCGAAAAGGACGGGCGTCGGCATTCATCAAGCTGGTCCACCCCAAGGGCATCGTGGAGCGGCTCACCCGCCCGACCCGGGCCTCCGAGGTCATGAAGCGGTACCCGCGCCACTGCGTGACCCGACCCGACGTTTTCAAGAACCCCTGGATCGCGGTCCACTCGTACTCCCTCCTCAAGCTCGGCTGCGTCTTCTACGTCGTCCCTTACCTCACCATCGACCGCTTACTCAAGCAGCACTCGCCAAATCTCGCGGCGACGGCGGTGGCACTCTTCTTCTTTCACCGACCGGCGGCGAAGGGGATCTATGGATTGTTCCACGGAGATGATCGGTTTCGATCGGCTCGTCAAGCACAGATCCGAGAGATTGAAGGTCGATTGCCGGTATGGTGAGTTGCGGGACCCGATTTTCCCCAACTGCTTGGTCGGGGGCCGCAAGGTGATCATCGGCGCCGATTCGCCTCTGATCTGGCGCCCGGCAACGGCGTTGAGCTACTACAAGAAGGATGCCGAGTCGAGCGAGCCGGTGGAGAGTCGTGGCGATTTGTTGCTCCTGTCGATTCGTTGCTTCATGACCAGTCCATGCAGAGAAAAGTTGCCAAGTAATTAACCAAATAATCACAAAAGAGCAAAAGAGAGATAACAGATAAGAGATATAGAGAATACGATGATGACGAAGACGACGTTGCTCCTGTCGGCAGCATTGATGGCGTTCTGCTTTCTCGGATCCTCCGTCGCTGCCGAGGCTGCGAAGAGCGTGGAGTTCAAATCGCGGAACTGCAACGCGGAGAGGTACCGGCCGCCGGCCGGGCGACCAACGGAAGCATTCGGTTTCGGTGGTGCTGACGCAGCTGGTGTCGGAGGTCGTGGACAGGATCACGTTCAACAACAAGGACTACCGCGCCCATTACCCGCCGCATAAGCCCATTGTCTACGGCCACGCGCGCTGTCCGTGGACGTTCGGGATCAAATCCACGTGCCGCAGCTGCGTCAGGGCGGCCAAGAAGCTGCTTCTCCATGGCTGCCCGCATTAAGTCGGGGCTTCCATCGAACTGGAGGATTTGTAATTATAATTTTTTATTTATTTATTTTAATGTGAAAATGAGTTGGAAATGGTAGAAGATTAAAATTAATTTTATTTATTATTTTTTAATTGCCACGTCACTGAGTTAACGGTCAACTTTGAGGGTTGACTGCCACATCAGACACATTTAACGGAGTTGGACAGAGAGTGACCAAACTTGAACCATTTAACTAATTTGAGTGACCAAGGTTGGATTTAAATATTTACAGTGACCAAACATGAACATTTTTTGTAATCTCAGTGACCAACCATGCAATTAACCCCTAAAAAACAAACCACTAAAACACAGGTTGAGTAAAAAAAACACGTAATATGTTCCTCGCACAAAAAGAACGCAAGGAAAAGAAGGATAGACTAATTTGCTTGAACCACGAGCATATTCTTAATCGTTGCCCATATCATTTCGCATAAATCAAGATCAACATTTGAGGTGACAAATTGATTGGATTTATGGATTGGTGAATTGGATTGGTGGATCCATGGATCATATGGATTGGCGGATTCATGGATTGGATCAAATGACTTGGTGGTTTGATCCATGAATCCAAATGACATCCAATTCTTGGATCAATATGTAAATTTTGAAAAATTTAGGTACTAAAAGGTCACAATGAAAATTAGTTACCAAAATGTAATTTTCCAACAATATTTTTCGTATAAACAATAAATTTTAGGTACCAAAATATAAAAATATAAGTACTAAATCATAATTTGTTATTTGAATTCATGGATCAATCCACGATTCCACCAATCCAATTGAATTTGGTTCAAATGGATTATATTTAAATGGATTGGTTTAAATGAATAATTTAGTGGATGGATTGAAATGGATTCATAGATATTAATCCTAATTACCACGGTGCCACCTCTAATCAACACACATCAGTAGTGTTGCTTCTCTTCATTCATGAGATTACCGTCTTCACAATCAAACTTTTCCTAAAATCACCACCCAAAATGCTAGAGTAACATATTCATACACATACCACAACCAAACAACACAACCATAATCTCTCGTGATATATAACTTAATTACGCAGGCTAAGGCACATAATTTCCAAACGACTCAAAACATCTTCTTCGATTCGATTCAATTTCGTACATTTCCCCATATACACAAATTCTCTCCTTCAAAACCAATGGGGGATCAGAAACACGTACAATTCTCAAAACACACAAAAAAGAAGAAAAGAAAAAAAATTAAGAGATGCCACCAAAATCAGCAGACAATTCTCTCGACGGCTTCCTCCGCTCCCCGCCACCGCCGGTAGTGCTCTCACTATACGAAGAATAGAAATCGTCGTCGAAGGCGGCGGCATCCTCCGGCCTATCGTCGTTCACCACCTTCACCTCCTCGATCCTCTCCACCGCCTCCTTCAAATCAAACCTCCTCTCCACGTCCGCCTCGCAACAGCCCAGCCCGATCCTCACCAGCTTCACCACCTCGCCTTGGTTTTGTTCATTAATCTCCTCCGCGAGCTCCTTGTCCACCGCCGCCCGCGGCCACTCCTCCTCCGGCACCGACCTCACCCACGCCGCCAGATCCTCCTCCTTGCTGTCCCCTCCACCACCACCGCCACCACTCGTACTCGCTTGCTTGAGGACGGTGGAGGGGATGCGGCCGGTGAGGATCTCGAGGATGAGCATCCCGAGGGCCCAGACGTCGGTTTTCTTGGTGACGCGGCCGTGGTGGAGGTACTCGGGGGACTTGTAGGCGACCATGAGCTCCTGGGCGCTCTCCTGGTTGATGACGGGGATTAAGGCGTAGTCGGTGAGGTAAGGCTCGAAGTTCTCGTCGAGGAGGACGTTGTTGGATTTGAGGTGGCCGTGCGCGGAGATGAGGCTGGGGAGCTCCTTGTAGAGATAGGACAGTCCCCTGGCGACTCCCTTGATGATCTTCACCCGGTTCTCCCACTCCAGGCTTGGCTGCCCTAGGGCTTGGTGGCCTGCATGTGAGAATGATCATGGTGGTGGGGGAAAACCCATGATTGGACAAAGTTTATTAGTTATAGTTCATGTTTGTGTGATTTAGTATAGGAGGTCTAGTGAGTGCAGCTACGTTTGCGTGTAGGATTTGAGTGATGTATTTGGTACCCAAATTCCAAGTATTATGTATTTACCAAAATAATATTTGTTTGTTGAGGTATACAAATCTGTGGGGTCCACGGATTTGGTCCTTTTTTTTAGCTCCGAATCCATGGACACCACCACGTATTTGCAAATACCACATTTCGTTTGGTATTTGGTCATGGAAGGCAGAGTTTTGTGAGCCATGGTGCAAAAACCTTTAAATTCATGATCGAACAAACAGTGTGATCTTTCAAATACAAAGTGCAACAAATCTAATCATAAATACCAAAGCTTTTCAAAACTCCAAAACCTTCGTTTACAAATCCAACAAAGCAAACGAGGCCCGAGGGATATATTGGTGTCTAGGGGTTTGCCTAGCTACATGCATTTCTTTTCTAGATACACATTGTTTTCATCATTGCCGGATCTGAAACGACTCGCGCTGGATGAATTTGTAGCTACGGTGGTTGTACTTTTTTGTTTGTTCTTCGGAATAGTTATGTGAGCTAACCCTTTTAAGAATTTCCAATTTGGTCGATCGGTATTTTTTTTTTACAAGTTGTTCCAGATAAAAGTTTGATAGTATTCGTATACTATAGTTCCAGTATTCAGACAATTTGATAGGGAAAAAAGATTAAGCATATATATGTTGCATCTAGATGTTAGAGAGTGGTATAAGATCCACGATTGAACCTCTCCCAACAACTCGAGTTATTGGGATCAACTGGTTCTTGACATGGTATCAGAGCCTAGAACCGAAAGGTCATGTGTTCGAATCTCCACGACCCCCAATATTAACCGTTGTCTTTCAAGTACATGGTATGGTGGGCCTGTGCAAACTTCAAGCCCATCCCAACAACTCGAGTTATTGGGATCGGGAAAAAAGAAAAAGAAAATATGAAACCAAGATGGGACAAAGGTAGAAAGAAAAAAATCAGAAACTTACTATGGAGATGGACAGCCAAGCTACCATAGGGAACGAAGTCATGAACCAGCAGCTTCTCCTCCTTCCTGTAATAGTAAGCAACAAGCGGCAACAAGTTGGTATGCTTCAGCCTCCCCACGCGCCGCATGTGCTCGTGGAACTCCTCCCTCCCAACATTGTTCATCTGCTTGAACCTCTTCACCACCATCACCTGCCCGGAAGTCAGCGCCGCCTTGTACGACGAGCCGAAGCACCCTGCTCCCAGTATCTCCGCCGACGCCTTCAGCAGGTCGGTGAGCTCGAACTTCCCCCTGTCCTCCCTCACGAACGACAGCTTCACCGCCTCCGCCGCCGCCGCCGACTTCTTCCCTCCTCCTCCTCCGGCCGCCACGCGGCTCTCCTGCTTCTTCGGCGCCCGCGGGTTCGGGTCGTCGGGCTGGATGTCGGGCACCCCCGGGGTGCCGGCCTCGATCGACTCCGGGGGCTGGTGGCGGCGCCGCATCAGGATGAGCGCGGCGGCGAGGATCCCGCATACGGCGAACCCGCCGACGATGGCCACGAAGACGATGCTCGCCGTCGACGGCTTCCAGTAGCCGGTGGCGGCAGCGGCGTGACTGGTCGGGTCGTCCGGGTCGGTCGGGTTTGCGGCGCCGTCGGTTTGGAGGAGGCTTGACTTGGAGTTTGAGGCGGCGGCGGCGGCAGCCTTTGCCGCCGTTGGGGCGGCGGCGTCGGATGGGGCGGGAGCGGCGGTGCATTCGCCTAATGGTTTTCCACATAAGCCTTTGTTCCCTGCGCTCTCACGTGTTCATCAGCATTCAGCGGCGCAATCAAGATTTCGTTTTAGATAACTTTTAACAGTTTTACAATGCTCAACAGAGTATTTTTCATATTGTGAAAAACTTAAAAAAAGACACATTCATATAATAGCAATCTTATTAATTCTATCAGAGAGTATTCTATGATTTTATTAGTTCATCAAACGAAATGAGCGAAGAGTGTTTTTATGTAACTGATCATTGTAAATCTTCTTTCAAAACTTGCGGAGAAGGCAGGTAGCGATAACACTAAGTTGCTTCTTTTGATGTTCATGATCCTAAAGGTCTAGGAGTTTTTGTTTAGTTTTAGAAACTTCTTGTAGTCTTCTCAAATCATATGTATAATTTACGTTCAAAATCTAAAAATGATTATCAAAGAACTCATTATTAGGTTAAAAGAAAGATAACAGATTCGGTGGAAGAAGAGTAATATGTAAAATTAAAATTCTAAGACTTGAAAGATGGAATCTATTTGATTTATGGAAAAACTAGAATATATTATATGTAAATAATGATAAAACTAAGTTCATTATAGTTTAATTGTTAAAATATTGGCTAGTATTAATGAGATTATGGTGCAATTTCACCGTCCGCTAACTATATTATCCATGGTTATTCATTTCTCTTTCGAGACAAAGTGGGTCCCAGAACCCGATGCATTGACTCCGACATTTATCATTCATGGAAAAGAAACATTCAGCATGTTCAAGAAAACAGAGGAAATTTTACCAGAAAATGCAGATGGATCAAGGTTGGCAAGGCTAGCAGGGATGGGTCCTTCCAGCTTATTATCGGACGCGTTGAAATCCTCGAACTTGGCAGTGAATTCAGGCAACCGCCCCGTGAATTCGTTCTGTTCGAGCCTCAAATTGGTAAGCTTGGACAACCCAGCTAGCGACGAAGGGATTTCCCCTGTAAACTTGTTACCAGACAGGTACAATTTCTTCAGCTTGGTCATTCCTTGAAAAGCATCCGCAGGAATCTCGCCGGAGAATTGGTTGTTCGACAGGTACAACGCCCTCAACCCGCCAAGTTTCTTGAAATCCGGCAGGGGGCCATCAAACGCATTGTCCATGAGGCTCACAGTTTTCAGCTCCTCGAGTTCCGCTAGGCTGTCCACGTCGATCTTCCCTCCGAGCCCCATCTTCTCCAGCTGCAGGCCCAAGACCAGTCCTTCGTCGCAGATCACGCCGATCCAATTGGCACTGTCCCCATCGCACACCACGCTGTTGTCGGCCCAATCGGCGAGGGCCTTGGCGTTGGCCAGGGAGGCCTTGAACTTGAGGAGGCTCTCGGAGTCGGTGAGCCCCCACGAGGGGACGAGGTGAAGGGAGATGATGAGCAGGAAGAACAACGATTTCTCGACGATATCGTGATTGTTCTTGTTAGTACGTCTATGGCGAGGAGCCATAGTATCGTCTTCCTCGTCGAAGGACGAGGTTGAGTCGTCGATTATGAAGGGCGGAACACGCTGTAAAGGGGCGGCGTGTTCGCCCTTTACTGGCATGAGGAGCCTTCAACGTGGCGAGGTACCACCGGAGAAGGGATTTTCGTGTTGAGGGGGGTGACGGTGAGGGAAATGGAGGGGGGAGAAGGGAGGTTGGGGAAGAGAGGAAAAGGTTGGGATGGAATGAGGGGTTTGTCTTTTGAATGTAATGGCATGGGAGAATAAGAATAGCAGGAGAAATGAGAAGAGAAAAGAGAGAGAGAGAAACAAGGGTGGAAAACAGAAAACAAGGGAGAAAAGAGGGGGTGAATCTATTGTGTTGAGAAATGCGGTTCACCCAAATCTCTCTGTTTAGTTGTTTTTTGTGGGAGGAAGTTACGGCTCTCCTTTCAAATGTTTTTACGCTCTGATTGTAACTGGATATACTCGTCTTCTTAAAAACTAGCACCGGGCTCGACCCTTTGGCTGGGAGAGATTAGATCGGGAATATGATATATAATATGAATAGGATAGGTGTTCGTAAATACATACATGTAATGTTTGGCTATGCATCTTGTGCTTAGAATATAATAAAAAGAGAAAAAATAAGATATAAAAAATTTGTATAATTATTCAATGAGGGAAGAAATACATATAACTATTTTTCTCGTAATCCTTGAGTAGACGATAAAGTTGAATATCAGAGGTTCTTTCCATAATACATACGTAATCAACCTTAAAAAAGAAAGAAAAGTATTGGTCTTTGATATAATTCAATATTCTCATGAAGTGTTTTCCCCAATAGAGAGCATCCGTGGTGCTCATAGTGCGGTTGATGGATGTGAAGTTGCAGGATTTGAAATATATATGAAATTATACAAAGTTGTGACTAATAGTTAGTTCGACAATGTATTGTGCACGGGTGATTGCCCAAATGACTCTCAGGTTGCAAATATGACCATCATTGATGTAGTAATTTTCCTAAAAAAATATGTATTTATTGATGAAATAAAAATAATAAAGAATAAAGAATAAAGATTTATGAATATATAAGATTACAGTGAAGATAGGTCCATGTGGAAAATGACGATTTGCAAACATTTTACCATGGTTTAAGAGATAATCAAAATGAAGTTATGTCTAAAATTGAACAAATGTTGGGACGTTATTTGGCAACTTCGTAGGAGTCCTCTTTAATAATATTTTCATTCCCCTAAGTTTGCCATAAGCAATAACAAATACCAAAGTTGGGTTGTTTGGAGGTTGGGATTCTCCAAATTGATGTATTTAATCAATTTGTGTATTATAATTTGATATATTGGTGAAATGTATGAATTTGAAAAATACATTGTTTGGAGGTTAGATTATGCTTTGTGATAAATAAAAAAGTAGAGGGTAAACAATCCTTTGGGCACAATCTCACATTTTGGTAGAGATTGACAATCACTCATTTTGAGTGATTATAGGTGGGCCCAGAAAAAAGTAATACATGTATTATGTCACAAATTTAACCAAAAAAAGACTTAATCTTGACATTACATGCATTAGCTAAATACATTACTTGAAATCCCAACCTCCAAACGACCCATTAACTTTAATTGAGCATGAATATATTTATAATATTCATAAGATCATTTACTTAAAGGTTTAACAAATGGTGCAATGAAAGATAATTCAAGTTGAAATATAAATTGGATGTTGGAGATGCAGTAAAGTAATACTTCCCTAGCAACGATAATAAAAACAACTTAGTAGTTGAATTATGTTGTACTGAAGTAAGTACATAGACCACAGTTGATTGAGGTTGATTGAGTATTACAACTTCAAATTTAGAAATCAAGGAGTCTTTTAGTACTATTTTGATCAAGGCCCCCTAATACACATGAGGTGATAATATGAGATGGATAGAATATCTAAAACAAATAAATAGACTACAAATGACAATAGTAGTCAAAGGACTCAATCTAATAGTTTTAGGTGTACATTTTTTAACATTTCATGGAAAGGGCATACAGAAAAGTTGAAAGGATGTTTGTCTATGGTGAACTTCGCCAATCAAAACTATGACAATAATTGCGGATTATAAGTTTTACAGTATGATATAGAAATTCCATACTATAAGTGCATGCATGGGAATTCTTTTCCAAAATGGAAATAAAAATCCAAATTTTAAATTCCAACAATACCAAAGCCTCCCAAAATACACTAATCTAGATAGCAAGTGTTCCATGTAATTCAATTTTTTTTGTGTGTGTAATATTTCAAATAGATTAGATAGTGTATAAAACTTAGTTCTAATAGTCGAATAAAAACATGACATGGTTTGTAATTAATTAATGAACAAATGAGGGGGTTAAAGGGCCTAGTTCCAATTATGAGCTCTAGTATGTTTTTGGTTAGTACAACTGTTAATATTCTAAACACTATCTATCACGTATTTTTCTATGAATATCATCTAGTTATTTACAAATGTCTAATGAGTCTTAATCATAATAAATTAGTTTATTACGTACTATTAATTTATTTTTCCCTTTTCCTTTGTCTAGCCACGTTTAGGACTTATGTCTGCAATGTTTAAATTCTTTAACTACCACTAATTTTATGTTGTCAAAGACAGGAATACCTACGAACCATCATCAGTTCATCATGGAAAGAGCGAAACACATTAAAATTACTTTCCATAGTCTCCATACAGTGACCAAAACAGAAGGATATTTAAGATTGCAACTCGTAAGTTGTAACCTCTTTAACAGAAGGGGGGAAATGACAAGTGTAGCTTGTAAGTTGTCACAGTATACCCTACAAGAAAAGCTCTGACTCTGTGAAAGAGAGATAATAACATCATGGAATGATGCAGTTACGGGGGTCGAATTCAGCATACCCTACATTAACCATACACAAACCTTCTGGAGGAGCAGGCGGAGCAGTGGCCCTTCGACAGGTAGCATCCATTAGCTTTAGCAGAGCATCATCTTCTGCGCCAGCAGCTGCCTCCCTTATCGATGTCGCAACAAGAACTCGAACCATCTGTTTCACCCCACCACCAAAAGGTCACGTGGCAGTTCAGGTTTCAAAGCAAAAGTAAATTACTTGTTGAAGGAATAACAATGGTTAGGCGAATCATGGTAGTGGCTTGAGAAGCTACGAGGTGCGAGGTTAAATGAGCATGGGATCCGATTTCGTCCACATCCCTAGGATGGAACATGGCGATTCTATAAAATCGTCTCGAAACTAGCTCACTGGAATGACCCGTGTCATGGACGTAGTAATATGAGGTCAACATGGGGTGCCATAACCAAATGTGGTGCTAGGTTTGATGCATACCCTGCGCAGGAAGCGATTCGCAACCAGTTCTATACACATAACTGTTCTTCCAGCTCCAGGATGCTGCAAAAGTGGACATTCCATTGCAAATTAACATCAGAAAGTCAGGAATGTGTTTCGCCAAATCGTCCCATTTCTCGAAGATAAGTTTCAGAATGGTTGGTGGAAGTAAAATTTGAGAGAAAATCTGGTTAAGAAACATTTACAGGTTGCGGTATAGTGGCTTCTGCAGCTCGAGCATGATACATAAAGCACTCTGTTGGAGGACCTCTGCAACATAAATATGGATATGTTAGTAATAAAGTATAGCTAACTGCACATTTCACCATTTATAATTGAGGCAACACTTCTATACAGGTAAAAATGACTTTCTTTCTTCTTTCATGAAGGTAACATCAACCTTTTCTTTAGCTCTCCCTGCAACTAACTACCCAGTGAAGCTAGTAGCCCAAAGTTAAATCCTAACCAAACAAGAGATGCTCTGAGCCAAAAAAAGAAAGAAAGGGTAACAAAAAGGTTGACCTGGAGCTCTAATTACAGAATCTATCAAAATACTAGTCATGGACTGGTAGATAAAATAAATGCAAAACAATCATTTCATTCGTAAATTACAAAAGCAAAGGGAACTTTCAACATGGCTTACATGCTTCTGGAAGCCTTTGTGTCACGAGCAAAGATTCTGTAGGACAATAACTTCCCCTCTAGTTGCTGCAGAAGTCTGTTAACCTTGCACACAGTAAATGTACTAGATTTCTTTGGACCTTGGAGCTCACCGTCATCCCTGACTATTAAGTTGTTATCATCCCCCTCCCATCTGAGCTCATCAGAGACATCTCTTTGCCCTCCATAGTGTCCATTCTCAGTCAAAATGTTCTCCTCCTCTCCGCATCGCAAGCTGGGCTCTCTGTTTTCACCGCCATTGAAAGGAAAAATATACAAGTACCGCCTCCATTTGGCTGAAAAATTGGGATGGAATGAACGTGAAACCTGTGGCAGGTTAACAAAAGGATGTGAAAAGGAATTGGGGTGACGCATTTTACTGGACCGGTATCCAACATAAATTTTCTACTTTTTTTCTTCTTCTTAATATTGATAAGTCATGATACCTCAGAGATTGATACAGCCCTGAGTTTCCCCGGTGCTGTGCTGTTGATAACATCTTCAATGTCCTGAATCCTAATATCCTTCCTCCATGTATCTTACAACAGATGTGAAAAGAATCATGACAATGAGAAAACAGCTTCTACAAAAATTTGAACATGATGGAAAGAATTCTGAAGAAACTGTGAAAAAGTCGATGCATAGTGAAGTAGAACATTCATCAATTTCTCTTTTTTTAAATAATGGGACAAACTATGTAAAAACTACTCTCATTTCCTCCAATCACTGAACTGAGGAGCTAATTGGTAGACTTTGAGTTTTACCAACAGATAGCTTTTACCAAGTTACATAGATAATGAGCAAGACACCAATTATAATTGTGGGGCATGGCTTTATGAAACCCGAGAGATGGGAGGGAACCCTATAATGCTACGGCATCTCAAATAACTGCTAATCAGACAGACACCATAACACAGATCTCTGCCTTGAACTTAAGAGAAAATATGATAGCCTAAGCCAAACAACTAAACTTAAACTAATTGTCTAGAAGTCGAAGTCGAAAGTCTTAATTGTCTAGAACTGAACCACTTCAAACTACCACCCTCCTACAAATCATCAATATGTATAAATGAGAATGATTTAACTGGCAAGGCTCGACTAGGTCCTTCGGTATCATTTTATCCAGTACACTAATGATCGGTAAATATGATTCAACCTTAATAGAACAGGTAGAAGTTCTTTCCCCAGCAACTATTAGCAACAGATGTTGAGAAGCAGTTAACACGTAAAGGGGATATTTAATAACATACAGAAAGAACAAACTTGCTGAAGAGCGGAGACTCCTTTGTCCGTGCGGCCAGCAACAGCAGCACACCCTTCTAATGGCTTGGATTTTTCTTTAAGTAGTTGAGCTTTCCTCTCATCGACAAATCTACCCAAACACTGTTCTACTAATCTGTTCAAGAAAAGTGATAACCCAAGTTCTGTTAGACCTTAACTGCACAAATGGAAAATTAGAATTAAATAGGCATTGCCTGTTACTAATAAAGAAAAAACAAGCAGAACCCTCACAGTCGATCCAGATCAATTAAACAATTATAACTTTTGATTGATTTAAGGGAAGCAGAGTAACATTAAGGACAAGACCATTAGCAGGGGGAGAGTACAAAACTACGTGTATATTCTTAGAATTGCAATCATTTAATCATAAAACAAAGGGTATGTCCCTAAATTGTTTAAAAGTAACTTCACAGCAGTCTCTTGATGGAAAAGAGTAAATACATATGAAGGCAATAACTGTTTCCTGGTACCCTCTATGAGTTTCATCAATACTATAAAGAAGTGTGCACAAAGTTAAGCAGATTTTCTATCATAAGAGACAGGACAGTAAACCCCAACACAGGAATACATCTATCAACAAAAAAGCATACTAAGGTACATATATTAATAGGGAAAAGCCTTACCCCTGAACCGTGTTCAAACCAGGTTGCTTCTGCCAACCGTCAAATGAACACCCATGATAAGAAAGAACTATCTTGAATGTCACTCTTTCCAACCTCCCAGATCTATCTTCCTTCAAAGTGCCCTCAAAGTCGGTTCTATTGCAAACTTCAGATAGTTTAGCAACATCAAGATTATTATGTGTCTGCATAGGAGATTTGTCTACAATGAAATGTAAGAAACCAAGAGGATAAGAAAAAAACATATGAATCCTAGAATTATAGTATTAGGGCATAGTATTAGGATCAAATGAAATTTATAACCTCACACAAGGCAGTCTTGTAAATTTTGGAATAAGCAGCAGTTTATTCCACCTACCAGTTGAGGTAAGGACTTAAAGGTCAAGAAACTGCAGCACGCCAGCACCTAATCTAATGTTCACACCCGGTACCCGGGGATGGTAGTAGATTCACTAGCCACAGTTAAATTGCATTGTTGACCACGAAAGAGAAGCATGGTTCATATCCAATTGCAACATGAACATGCTTCAGAGACCCGCATTAATCAATATGTTAAAACAAATGAACTTGATGAAAATCTAACCACCACCACTAATTAGTACGAAGTGAACTTCAACCGAAAACTCACAAGAAACAGAACAAAACACCAAGCACCCACCTGAACTTCATCAAACAGTTGCAACAGTGACAAGTTCCCATTCACCACATTGGAATAGAAGTCGGCAACTTCTTGCCAGGGCCGACCGTGCATGAACTCAAAGCTTTCCCTGCACGGGGAAAAATGCATTGTCAGTAGAAAGCTCATAACTTCTGATCGAATTCCATAAGAGTGAAAAGGAATAACAGACAAAAAAATGTACTAAATGAAGAAGGGCACCTAATCATCTTATTACACACCTTGTTGTCCATCTCGCGAATTTGCAGGGATCGGTGTGGTTGTAATGGAAATAGACCTTGTTGTCCGATTGTCTCTGCTCTTTAGCCATTGTGGTTCCACAGAATCTTGCAATACGCTGATATCTGGGGAGTAATTTCCCGATGTGAACAGAATTCATGAGCGTGGCATTGCGCCCTTAAACCCTAATCTAAGGAAATACAAAAACAAGAAAGGGCTTTCTCTCCCGCACTCGATTATTACTACGCAGACTATATAGTTATGGCAGTGTTCGTGTTAGTCCTTAAACTTGTGCTATCTAGAATTTAAGCTTCTATCAAAATTCAAATTGTACAAATTAGTCCTGGTATTTACAAGACTTCTTTTTATAGAAGTCTTCTCGATTCTGGTATTTAGAAGATTTTTAAAATATTTTATTCGTTGAATAATTTTCAGATTATTAACCTTAGTGTTTTTATTCAGTACCTAGGTCCTAGTAGGCTCGAAAGTTTGATTGTTTGGATGATGGGATTGTGATTTGTGATCGTGGAAGTTAGGCTCAAATTTTGGGGTTTTACCATAAGATTTTATTGTTTTGAATGAATGTGTTTATCTAGTTGATTTGTATGTTATTTTATTTTTTATTGTGTTTGGGTAAGTCGCCCTAATTTTTTCTACTAGCCTATTTAAGCTTCTACGTTGGGTATGGAGTTTTAGGTTTTGACGGGTATGCGTCATCAAGTAAATTGAGGTTAGATGTATGAATATGATCCTATGGTGGTCGAGGCGACCGAACCCTTGCCATAGGAATGCCTTCCTAGATAGAACCCGAGATGAAAACTCGATGTGGACGGTGGGTAGTACCCATTGAAAGGAGCTACGAGCTTAATGCCCCAAATACGATAGCCTAGATCGAGGTGACTTTATATGGGTTTAGGAGAGACGTACTCGGAGGCGTGTGGGTAACCACGAATGCTCACGGATAAAAGCTCACTCGCCACATTCGACAAACCCTAAGTATCTAGACATTGCATAGTAGTCCTAAACTAGGGTGAGAGATAGTTCCCCGAAATACCTGCTTTTATCTTTATTTGCCCTCTTAACTGGTAGTTTGATCATATCCTCCAAAACAATCCCTTAAACGGATTGGCTAGATAACAACAATGTGGGAAATAGGCTAGGGTACCAGGACCCGAGTGAATACGACCTTGTTCGCCACTATACGGTAACGCCATTTTAGCTAAACTTGGCCTAGGTTGGGGTAGTTGTTGACACGTGCTAACCATTGAAAATAATCTACACAGGTGAAAATTGATCACATTCTCATATAATCAATTTCGAACTAGCTATACATAGAAGAGAATGAGGGTTTCCACTATTGATGATGAAGGCATCTCTTTAGCTGCACCCTCTCCTACAAATGCTAAGCTTTCATTATACCATAGTGTCTACAGAAGTTTTGAATGAAATTATGCAGTCTATAGAACTAATTAGTCTAGCTCTCTATTTATGGTGGTATAACTCAACCAAAACCTTACTAACCCTAACAGGACACAGTTTCTTCGACTTGGGGTCGAAGCATGGCCTAAAGATCTCTTTTTAGCCCTTTGGGTGGCGGTAGGAACCTTCGCTGGTTTTCTTCGTGGGATGGACTCCTTAGCTCACAACTCACAAGCAACCTCTTCTAAAGATTTGGTCGCAATTTATCCACGTATACTTGGGCGGTGTTTGGACCCAATGCTAAGTTAGGGCCGCTCGTTCATGCTTCAGTTAGGGCCGAGTATTCCTCCATTGGGCTCCTCTTGGGCTTTACTTGTGGTTACTGGTAGGCTTCTCCATCATTAGACCTTGTCTTTAACGTGAAAGCTCCTTGAACTTCTCTCTTTAGCTCCTTTAGTCCTCTAGAATCATCTAATGTTTGATCCAAATTCTCCTAGGTTGTTTTGTACCTTGAAAACCATTAAAAAACATATCAAGAAGGCATCAAAGAGTATGAGAGGTCGTATGAGAAAACTCAGCGATAGAGTATTTTCCTCTGAAATCGTGGCTAAATAATTTCATAGCTCAAAAACCTACTATCGGCTGGACTCCGATATACGAATTTAGGATAAAATTCTTTTTGTTAACCGGATTTCTAACAAAATCTCTGACGCGGTTCACATAAGGTCTTTTCCCCATTCAAATCCTCAAATTTACTACAAATTAAAAAGTAGCACTTGCTATAGTTGATCTATTTCCCGATTTCCATATATCCTAGTTACAACTTACAATGTCGTTAAATATTTTTTCTATGTCTAAATTGAATATATTTATCGTTAAATATCTCATTCTTCCACCATAAATGGAAAACATGAACAAAGACCAAGATCGCGCCTATCACCATTTCCCTCCCATTCTCCCCTGCCTATTCTTGTAAGCATTTTTTTTCCAGAAACAGGGAAAATCTATTTCCCTCCTACAAAACAGAGGCTAAATCCCAACTTCTTCTTCCGCCAAAAACAAGAAAAAAGTCTAATCTTCTCTCATTCGTCCTGCTAGAGTGCCGACGGCGGATCCCCGGCTGGCCCTCTTCGGCTTGGATCCGGCAATGTGTCGCGTGCCTCGCCCCTGAAGACGAAAGAAGAGGAATGACATAAAATCTCGATGGAGAAACCGATCACTGCCTCTGATTCGCATTCGCAAGAGAAGAGGCGGTTGAATTTTGCTTGCCATCATCATCGAATCATCGTTGAGAAGAGGAGGTCGCATCGCCCTTAGTCGTCGTCGTCGAGGTCCAATCTCCACTAATCCCCCCCTCTGTTTTCCATCGCTGCGCGCGGAGGTTAGAACAAGTGAGGAATTTGATTCATCGCCACCGCCAATCCCCAATTCCTCTCGACGAATCCGGCTGATCAACCATGAATCCCTTCAACAGATTTTTCGTCTTCCGGGTCAACTCGTTCTCCCTCAACCTTTTCTATTTCCTCTTCCTCTCCTTCGCCGGCTACTGGATCCTCATCTACCTCGGGACCCGGCCGGGCGCCGACGTCCCACGGACCATCGACTACGTCTTCACCGCCGTCTCCACCGCCACCGACTCTAGCATGTCCGTCATCGAGATGGAGGCCTTCTCCAACTCCCAGCTCCTTTTCATGACCTTCCTCATGTTCGTCGGCGGTGAGGTCTTCGTCTCCGTGGTCGTGCTCACGCTGAAAGCTTTTCGGGTGAGGACCAAGTCACGGATGGCGGCAGAGGAGGAGGAGAAAAGCAGGGCCACCCCAACCTCGAGTCCACCCGGTGATCATCGTCACGAGCTGGAATTGAGCGTTGGAAAGGATGATAGAGCTCCATCCCCGTCGTCAATCGACGATCAAGAACGAATTTTGGAGTCCAAATCGGTCCAATTTCTAAGCTTCATCTGTCTGTGCTACCTGATCGTAATCCACATTTTTGGGGTTGCTCTGCTTTCTGCGTACGTCACTCTGTCTCCCAGCGCGAGCAGAGTCTTGGAGGATAAAGGGATAAAAAGGTTAACTTTCGCCCTCTTCACCGCGGTCTCCACTTTCGGGAGCTGCGGATTCATCCCCACAAACGAGAACATGATCGTGTTCAGGCATAACACCGTGATGCAGCTGATTCTGATCCCCCAGGTTCTGATGGGGAACACCATGTTCCCGCCCTGCCTCCGTCTCTGCGTCTGGCTCACCGGGAAATTGTGGAAGGCGAAATCGGACTGCACCGAGTACCTGTTGCGGAAAAGCAAGAGGATCGGATTCTACCACCTCCTTCCCGGGCGGGAATCGGCGTGGCTGACGGCCACGGTGGTGATATTCCTGGCGGTTCAATTCGCTCTGTTCTTGGGGACGGACTGGTGGTCGGAGGGTCTGATCGGGCTGAACACGGTGGAGAAGCTGGTCGGGGCTCTGTTCCTGACGGTGAACGCTAGGCATTCCGGCGAGACCATCGTTGATCTCAACACCATTTCCGCGGCGTCTCTTGTGGTGTTCGTCGTTATGATGTGAGTACTCTCTATCGCTCTCCTTTTCTCTATATGTCTTCTTCTTGTGTTGCTTTTGCTGAGTCGGCATCTTGAGTCTGTTGACCGCTATGAGAAAAGTTTGTTCTTACATAGAGGTTATCTAATAATTCACACAAACTATATTTACATTGAAAAAACCCTACCGTATCGGCAGGCCGATCGAATTTCTTTTTAACGACGTATAAATTGGTAAGCGATTTTTAGAGAAAATTTGATTGGACCATGCTTAAACCAGAATTGCATCATAAAATATCCTATCATTGATTTTTCCGGTACGACCTCTGGTACTTCTTTAAAATTCTTGGTTACATCATCTATTTTTTTAGGGGATATATAAGAATGCATGAAAAATTGATTGATTTGTAGATGAGAATAGTGAGAGAGTTTGAAAAAAAATAGACCATTCTAAAAAAAAGACCATGTTTATAAATATAGTGAATTTCGTGAATAATTAGTAGATTTACTTAAAAATATAGTTTTTATACGTGAACAATGCGATATCTCATAAAAGAAGAGCATATACCTTTTGAAATTTGAAAAATATTTTGACATATATGACTGCACCATGAGGACTTTTTTAATGAATCAGACTCTCTTCCATTTCATCAAAAGAAAAGGGTGCTAGAAACATCCTTTCCAACTAGGCATATCCATTAAAATATTGGAAACACATCAATACCAAAAAGCTAACAACATAAGCATTTTCTGTACACCCTCATGGTCAAAAAACTTAATCAAGAAACTGAATACGAAGAAACCCAGTTTTTGGCAGCATCATCTTCCTGTAGCAGCACTAGAACTTCACTCCTAAATCCTAATTACCCTCCCCAAACCTTCCACACTTCTAGTGGCTCCTTCAAGCGATCTTATACATCTCTCCCTCGGATATGACTAATCATGGATTGTCAAATAAGTCTCCCATGTCCTGCATCTACACTTTTTTTCCAAAGTGCAAAGTTGCCCATTGCAATGAGTCTTCCGAGTCCCTAGAAGAAAAAACCATTAAATTTCCCAAGCAGTGCCATAAAATCTCTCTATAATACACACACTGAGAAAAGATGTGATCCCTCTAGCACCTGATTGCACAAATACAAATGTCAGAGCCACAAAAGCCTAATTTTTTCATTCTATCCTTAGTTTGGATCCTATCTTTGATGATAAGTCATACTACGAACCAAATTCTTGGGATTAAAAGAGTCTTCCATTAGGACTTATTACATGGA